ATTTTGGGGTATTTTTTTTCTCAATGTAGTGAGATAAATCTGATGCGACGGCAAAGAATGATTTCAATTTGGATATTTTAATAAGGATACACACTCTGTCAAAGATATTTTTATGCATGCGAGTATATTAATTTCATTATTATTCTTCACCGACAATTATTACTGTTTCATCGCGTTGAGAGCGCGATACATGACTCTAGTTAATGTCAGATTTATCGGGGAATTAGCGTGTCCCGTCAACTGTAATCCATCAAGTAGACTCGCAATGGACCTTGCCAACAATCTCACGACACGCTTCTTTTATGTATCTCAATAACACTATACACACAAGATATGTATACGTACGTACAATCTTCATCGGAAAATAGTCGGCAAATATCATAAAATGATGAAGATTTAACTTGAATTGATTCTCTCTTCTCAACACACAATTTTTCCTATCTCGATGAAAGGTTTGGGAGCAAACTGCTTAAAATTCTTTAACATCATACTTTCTTGTCTCGCGCGCAATAAATCAAGATAATCATTTCATAAGAAATCCTGAACAACAATATGCCGTTATTATTATATCATGTTCTCGCGAATCACTGTATTTTCATAGTTTACGATACATTCATCATAAGAATTGCGTGCCACGTGATATAATTAATCAAGCGGCTTTAGCCTACCAGGGTTGGCGCCAAGAAAAATCTCACTTATTTGCTCTATCTCATAATCATCGATCCAGGCGGTCCTAAAAAACGCGTTATTAGCATCGATAATTTCGGAAGGGGAAGCGCATCATTTGATCACACCTCAATTGAGCGAGTCGAGTGGATGATCGATGATCTTTCATGGCGCGGCCGATAGGAAATTTCGAGGCCGGTTAGATAACGGATAATCTCGTGATATATCGGTTAGCGATATTAAAAGCCGAAAAGGGCATGCATATTCAGGGCGCTGCTTACGTATTATCAGATTGGTGCTGGCAGGCGCTGGCGAGGAATCTTGACGCGCGATGTAAACCTGTCAGAGCTTGATGGATCACACCGCCGCTGGAAAAGAGGCTACGTAGCGAACGAGCCTTTTTCCACCGTCTTCCGATTCACTGGCGCGCGGAACTGATTTGAATTTAATAGGGGGTTAAATTACTGTTTATTCATTTCGCACTTACACGCCTTGTGATCTGTCGCGCGTTGCAAAAATCTTCGCACGACGAGCATTTCGAGCAACAGTTTATAACTTGCTTCATTTTGTCCTCGATTTGGCTGGATGCTTTTCTGGATGCGGATCGCTTCGCGTTTCGTGTTTCGCTCGGTCATCTCGATACAGAAGATTTTGATACATATTGTAGGAGGTACTTTCCACTTCCCGAACCAAGTTTCAAAAGACTTCCAGTTACGATCTCACAGATACATACACACACATTTGCGCGATGTTTTCCGCGAAGTTATATAGAGTGCTTTTCATTTGGTGACACAAGTCGACACAAGCATCATCTTATCTTTTTTGACATTCGATGAATAACGAAAACGGAATGTGATACTTGGATCGACTCGTGTCACCAAATTCACCAAATAGAAAGTATCCAAAGAAACCGTCATTCAATTCTCACCACGATCTAAAAAAGAATAAAATACTTTGAAAACAGAATTGAATCTATTGTACGAGTACGATTACAAATCATTGGAGGCATTACAGAGAGACTTATGAATCGCGAGTACAGCAAAGGTGTTTCGGTGTTTTTTTATATTCTGTATTTTTAACGTAGGAGGAACTTTTCTACTTCTCACGCTTTTGACAATATACCTCTTTGAGTCTTTCTTATTTGTCAATCTAGAAACATATTAATCATTATTTTATTTTTTAATTACGTAATAATGATTTCTATGTTGAATTCGTCCATTTTCAACATTTTCCTTAGACAAACGTCTCCTCGGTTATTTTTTTGTAACTTCCGACGTGCTGGCAGTAGCTTCGAAATTCCAATCCGACCTGTGATAGAACAAATGCTTCTCCAAATAAAGAGGTGGAGAAACAGGGAACGAAAACGAACTGCGTCGGTCGCAAAATATTAGCATGCCACTTTTAGCCGTGCGCTTCGAGCGAACAGTGTGTCACAGCAACGTGCCTATTCCCGCACGAGACTGAAATATATAGGTACGCGGTACGCTGGTACGTTGCATCGCACGGTTACATCCGCAATCGCGTCGCAGTCCACGGTGGATGAAAAAGGGTAGATAAATAGAGGCGGGCAGATAGAGCAAAGGATGCGACCGACCGCTCGTCGATGCGCCAAGCTATCTCGAGCTAAATCCCAAACCGTTTCCGTGAATTATTTCCGGCATTACGAAAAGTGGGACGGCGCACTTTAACCCGCACGACCTTGCTCCGTGCGCTTAATTAATCGTCCACCCACTGTCGCCTGCCCTTCTTTTTCTCACGTAAATTTATTGGCGTCTCGAGGCAGAGGCGGCGGCGGCCACATCCAGAATCGCTTCCGAGACTTGCCTTTCGAACAAGGCGCCATTTATTTTTCGATATTCCACCACGGGAAGAACACGCGTTCGCGATTTATGCAAATCGATACTGCCGCCGTAACTAACGCGTATACGGCGTACTCGCGAATGTCGATATACGCGAGGACCGCGCCTTTCGATTTACACCGTGACCATGAATCGCAGTGCTTTTAAATTATACAGATATACGAGCAGTTCGCGTAAATGCTACATCGTTTTTTTAAGACTTACTGTTTTAAAAGTCCAATGGTGGTTTTACGGAAATTAATGAAATTTATGACGGTTATATACAGCGTTTCGAAAAACGCTCGCACGTCGAAAAGACTTACTGATACATATCGCATGAATGACGACGAAAATCTGCGGAAAATGCAAGGGCTATTCTAGCGAAGTGGTGACATTTTCCGCAAAAATTCAGAGACCAGGTCAATTCCGACTTAGAAACGCCCCAAGGGGTAAATCGGTTTCCACCATATTTACGGCGGTCCTTTTCAATGTGATTCGCTTTAATGGGGGTTATCCGGTCATGCTGTATAGAACCTTCAATCTGAAGGATGAGGAGATCTCAAAAGAATAATGCGAATCTCGACGAGTGAGTCCGTCCTCGTTCCGTTGTGTTCCGTATGCGCTTTTCTTTCCTACGACTCTCGTCGCTTGACGAGTCTCAAATTCGCTGCACGTAAAAACGTGAGTTTGTATTATCGAGCTGGTTCACACAATATATGATTAATATTAAGTATACATCCAGATCCAGGAATATTTGTGTGTAGAAAAATCAATGGATACACACGTGTATTTTTAATTCCAAATGTTGCTTTAAAAATGTCGGGAACAATGTCTGTATATTCTATTTCGCGTATGCAGGAAGTAGATCGAGAAATGAGAGACGACCGGGGAACGGCGAGTGAGAGAGAGACGGAAGAGTTCCATGCCGATTCGCGCGCCCGTGAATTTGTCCGGTTTGCGGACCCGCGCGCCCGCCGAGTTGGCAACGAGAGAGACGAGGCCGCATATACACGCGCATTCACCATATGTTCCGGACAGCCGCGGCTAAGGCCGGCAATTTATGCGCGTTTTGATATTCTCACTCGCTTTTTTCGGTCTCGTATCGCGAATACATTACCGGAGGGAGCGCGGCGCCAGGCGACGCCACGTAGATAAAACTTCTAACGCGGACGAGCGGCGACAACGAGCGGCGGCGTTGCACGAGCAACGACTCGTGCTCTAATAAATTTGAACCCCTGATCCTATAAAAATGCATTGGATCCACGGGAAATCTCCGTGGTCGCGCGCACGCTTCCGCGGTACGGTAACATATTTGCACGTCGGGGGTGTGAGCGAAGGGAAAACAGTGTGAAAAGGAGAGTCGACAGGCTGGATTCCTGAGAAAATAAAGTTGACCGAGGTAATGCATACCGAATTTTCGTGAATTGCGTTTCGTCTTCCGAGAAATCTGTTTTCTTCTCGGTGAAACCGAAGGAGACATAAGCCAAAATGCAGAAAGGGTGGCCCGCAAAACGTTGGCGATGATAACAGACGGAGCTGTGAGAAAAGGATGCCATCAGACCCCCCCGGGGGGGGGGGGGGAAGGGTGTGCCGAAAATAGAGGCAGCGAAGCGCGACACGACGTGTATCGCGAATCTTCCGAGAAAGCGAGTGCAACCGGTGGATTTTTATTTCAATTTATATACAACGTAGTATATCATTCGGAAGGACTTAGACGGCGATACGTACGCGTTTTCTCATTGCGATCACGCAATCCGCGCGCATTCGCGTGGGAAACCGCGCACCGTTGGTAACGTGCCACCAAATTCCACCCGCGTGGAAGCGTGGAAAGCTTTTCGTCCGGACCAAAAACGTTTTCCGCACATTTGTAACGGCTCGAGTAACCTTTGCGCGTTTACAGAAGCGCGACCCTCCGTCGGTACCCGGCGTCTCCACCGTCGTCTCTTTTTTCCCGTTGAATTCGCCCGCACCGCTCGACAGACTTCGTCGTTTCGGCGATCGCGTTCCGCAATTTATTTTCCCCGCGTGGGTGGCGCAGACCGGGTGCATCAAACGACCACCGAAATTCGCGAGAGCGAGATAGATACGGAGAACTCGGTGTATCCAATTGTACGTAACTAACTGAACAGCGCGTCTACTGCCGAATCGCGATTCCTTGCATCCAACCGCGTATCCGCATTGAATATTCGCGACTGCCGTCAAATGGACATTCGCCGGGGTCTGGAATCGACAGGTTTCGCTGTTTCGGCTGGCTCACTAGTAATCGATTCGGCCACGGGCGGACCGGAAGCGCAGTTGGTTTTGCGAGAAACCGTCTCTAATCCGTACCTCGTCGGTCATGTTTAATTCAGTTGTGATATCTATTTTACGTTTAGCCGCGAAGATCCTCTCACGCTTGGCATGCCGAATGGTTATGGATACGATTCGCCAGGGACTATCCTAATTCGAATCACTACTTAGGAATCATGTTTAATTCAAGGGAATTTCGGCCGTCGTGCGTGCGCTCGTCGGCGTTTCGTGCAAGACGGTAATTTTGTATAACATGCAATATATAATCGCATCCTGTACACTACTCACTGTGTCTGCTTAAAATACACTGAGGCCTGGAATAAAGATACGCTATAAAAACAGAGAGAGAGAGAGAGTGAGAGAGAGAGAGAGAGAGGGGGAGAGGGGGGGGGCAAGGAAGAGTAGAAAGGTCGTAAAATTGTATTTACAGAAATAATATTTAATGACGTGATACATTCTCGATCCATTAAAGTCAATTAACAACTTGAAAGGGATACCGAAATTGATCAAATAGACCGCGATGCGTATTTAACGATGAATTTCGCAAGATACAGAGCAAAAGTAACGGAGGCACGCCTCGAAGGAAGACCATCGTTAGTTAAGATCCGTTAGTAGCCTTGAGGGAATATCGAGGTTTATCAAAGCACCCGAGTGCCTCGAGTGCTTAACGGTGAGTTTACTCTGATCTCCGGTCGATTAATCGGCGCTTGTTTGAACGACCATCGGCGGATTCGATCTAACATCTTCCGCGCACTACCACGAAACACGCGTGTGCTCTCGACAGCTTCTGTCTATCGTCCCGAGGGACAAGCTCGCGCCGGGCGGGCCTTTGCCCATTACCTGTATATATTGTGCGCCCACATAGTAACCCTAAACGATATTACATCTGATGTAAAATCCAGCGATCCTGGTTACTGTCGATAACCTCATCCTGCCGTGTGTAAGCGCATCTCTCTCGGACACTGGACAAGGAAAGAGGGACAAAGGGGGCGAGAGAGATTCGAGGGAACAGAAGCCGGGACACGTCGACGGGAACACCAGGATTATGGGGTTGGCCATCGTCGGGGTCTCTCGACCCGCAGGAACGACCCGAGATTGAATTATCCGCCATCAGGAGGGGTTTTGACCTCGGCTATCGCGTCGGTGGAAAGTTCGAGGGGGAGAGAGAGAGAGAGAGAGAGAGAGAGAGACTGCCCACTAATCATATACCCGAGGGATGAGGTCGAAAACTCGGGTAGGACAAGATCCGGGATATTGCCAGGAAGAAGAAAACAACCGTCGTCGCGCGCGATCGTACGCCGAACTGCGGCGTTGTCTTAAATCATCTCCATTGCTCCTATGGATGGTATTGCCAACCGTATGTGTTTGAAAGAACTACTATCTTCGGCCATTCACTACGAATGCACCCAAGATGTGAGAGAAGAAACTGGTGGAATCAGCCAAGAGAAAATAGAACGCTTTTTATCTCACCGCATGTTAGAAGTCTCTTATACCGGCGTCGTAAAAGTTTTATTCACTCTTTTACATATCACGTATTCATTTTAGGTTTATATATATTCCAAAAAAAATGTCTAATTTGGCTAAAACGTCATTTTTCCTCTATTTCTTC